TTTCCATTATTATTATTGCAATTGTAAAATTACTATTATTACTACTATTGATATTGCAATTACTACGATTGGCATTGCTATTATTTCTGTTATTAATGCTATTATTACTATATAGATAAATGAATAATTTTTGTAATCAGGATTGAGTGATTACTCTATCCCTCTATCCTGATATAGTCACAGATTTGAGAGATAATGCCTATACACCTCTGATTATTTCCTATTTTATATTTCTATATGATAATTTATGTTTATTTTGTTGTCTATTTAAAGGTTTCTGGACACTCCTTTCTATACTTTTCTCAGTTTGGATGTTGAGGATTCTTGCAGCTATTAGGCTGATAGATCTATTTCAAAATAATACATTGTCTCTATTGCAAATGTTATATATATATTGATCGGAGTTATTTGTCTTGGTTAATATTAATATTATTAGCATTTAATGCTGTTAATTACCATTATTATTCTATTTTCATTTAATGTTATTAAAAACCCATTAATATTTAGTTTATATATCTATAGCCAGTGTTATTTTAACTGTTGATATTATTACCATAAAAGGAGGCCTCGCTTGTGCTAGTTCAAGTTGGGGTCTAGCTAGTGCTTGTTCTAGTGGGAGCCTAGCTAGTGCTAGTTCTAGTGGGAGCCTAGCTAGTGCTAGTTCTAGTGGGAGCCTAGCTAGTGCTAGTTCTAGTGGGAGCTTAGCTAGTGCTAATTATGGTAAGAGCCTGGCTAGTTCTAGTGGGAGCCTAGCTAGTGATGGCACTACTGGAAGTCCGGCTTGTGCTAGCTCTAGTGAGTGACTAGCTAGTGCTGGTTCAAGTGGGAGCCTAGCTAGAGCTAGTTCTAGTGGCACTAGATATTCGTATCTTTGTTCCTTACGCTTAATATCAAATCCATTATTATTTATTAATACTAATTTTATTATTACTACTGTTGCTAGTGTTATTATTGGTATTGATAAAGTCATTGTGTCTAGTATAAAAGCAATTATAGTCACGAGTAAAAATAATAATACATTTTGCATTATTATTTCGGCAGTTATATTATAATTATTATTATTTTTATCTGTTTTGCAATAATTGCCATTATTATAGAAGTAATTACTTTGGTTAGTAATAGCAATGTTCCAATGTTATCGGGTGTTGTGCGTGCAACCTTGCACAAACTTCTTCATACTGTTTCCATAATTTTTTTTCCAAATTACAACATTTGCAAAGACTTGCAATGGGGGGCTGAAGGCTCTCCATGACCTCAGGAAACACCAACCTTTGCATAGGCCGCTGACGTCATCACCCATAGTCTTGAGTCGGGAACAGGATGTGGGAACTGGGCGTTTCCTCCTTGGACAGTGAGCAAAGGAGCCTCGGACTATCGTCTGAGGTATAAGGAGGAGGAGGAGGAGGAAGGTAGTGCAGTTAAGCGTTGAGCGTCGCTGGAGGAGGACGTGCTTGAAACGCCCCGTTCCCTCGAGACATTTCCGACGTAGCAAGGAAGCCGAAAGGAGACGTATCCCTCCCCCGACAGGATATTTAGCAGTCTTAACGCAAAAGCCAGATAGCAAAAGCGCTCGTCCAGGTAGGGAGGTGTTTGTCTTTCTCCACAGTGAGGCCTTAGATACCAGGCCTGTCGTTGTTCCGGAATACAAAAGCAGAGGCGTTTATCATGGGGTACATCGTCTTTCAACTTTACCCAAGGTGACAGCGAGCTTCCTTGGTCTTAACTACGCGGCTGGGCGTCGGCCAGATCCTTCCGTGTTTGGTTGGATTACAAGATTATACCCAAATCCATTCACACACAGAGAGACGACTTGGATCCCAACACATACACCCAGGGAGATGACTGGATCCCAACCCATTCATGCTGGGGACGACTAGATGGCAACCCATTAAAACAAGGATACAGCTAGATCCCAACCCAGCTATGCAGGGTGAAGATTAGATCCTAGGTAAGATAGGAAGAGAGGCGGCAGGATTCAACCTTCAACGAAGCAGAAAGTTAGCTAGATACTAACCTATCCGGGCTGACTAGATTCTAACTCGATGAGGTGGTAAGAGAAAAACCTCCAAAATCAATCTGTTGTTAATTATCTGGCAAGACAAGGCATTAGAAATTCGGCCTCTTCAAAGAGTGTTCATTTGAAAGTGCAAATATTCAGGATTTTCAGTCTTGCCCAACTTCTCCATTGCAACATTAATTATTTACTTTACACGGTATTTTGTCAACAACCCAGAATATCAATGATAGTTATGCCATCTTTAAATTTGACAAACTTAGGAGTGTCTTAGGTGCCTAAATAATTCAACGTATATACACCCTTAGAAATACTGAGCAAATTCCATATACTGAGTAAATCTGGAGCATCAGAAAATCCCCCAATCATTAACTAGACAGATCATTTCCAAAATAAATTTGAAGAAGCTTTCTTGAAAAAAATATATATACACTCTAAAACACACAAAAATCATAATGAAGTTAGTACTGGTCTTTAATCTAGTTTTAATAGAATTATTTTATTTCAGTAATTTTAAACCATAGGTTATATGATTGTTATATATGGCGCATGAGAGCTTCATCTGACCTCAAATCAAAGTGACTTCGATTTTTCGCAATGCTAAGTTAACTGTGAGTCGTTTTAAACCCGGTTCACTTTCGTCAACCATAATACGGTTATTCCGGCTGTCCGGAATTATTCAGGCTATCAGGAGTCTTTTGTGGTCGTGACTATGCTTCTAGCACGTCCGCGCTCGATCCCCGATGGTCCAAGTGGTTGGGAACCTTTCCATCACTCCGTCCCATCCCTGCTAAGTGCTACATAGTCGTATTGGTCTAGTTCTTTCTTCAGTTCTTCCGTTCCTTACCTTACCCGCGGGGGCAAGGATGTAACAGCCATAAGGGATTACAGAAAGAAAAACCGCAAACGACATGTCAGGCGATAGATATGAAAGCCGTGAGGTCCTCTACACGTTTTATATTATCAACAAATCTAACCTGACCTTCCCTAACCTAGCCTAACCTGATCTCCCCTAACCGACCCTAACCTAACCTGATCTCCCCTACCCGAACTGATAATAACGTAACGTAACCTAACCTACCTTGAGGTTAACCTAACCTACCTTAGCTACCTAAGCTAACCTAACTTAACCAAACCAAACCTCTCCACACGAACAAAGGTGAAGGTGATGAGGTTTTGGTCCTCCCGGAATCATTATCAACTCGAACCTTCTAACAAAAAAAAACACAAGGTCGATAGGAATCAAGAAGGCGTAGAGGAACGTCAAGAGAAGTGAGGACACAGTAGATAGGTCAGGGAGGCTGGTTCCGGGAGTGGGAAGCGGACAGGAGCCGGATACGTGGAGCAGGGATTGAAAATTGAGGAGGCAAGAACGAGAGACAGAGAGAGAGAGAGAGAGAGAGAGAGAGAGAGAGAGAGAGAGAGAGAGAGAGAGAGAGAGAGAGAGAGAGAGAGAGAGAGAGAGAGAGAGAGAGAGAGAGAGAGAGAGAGAGAGAGAGAGAGAGAGAGAGAGAGAGAGAGAGAGAGAGAGAGAGAGAGAGAGAGAGAGAGAGAGAGAGAGAGAGAGAGAGAGAGAGAGAGAGAGAGAGAGAGAGAGAGAGAGAGTATTAGTGGGGGGCCTAGTGGCTGAGTAGATAGCGCTTGGGACTCGTAATCCTATGGCCCGTTGATCGATCCCCGGCGATGGCGGAAACAAATGAGCAAAGTTTCTTTAACTCTGGTACCCCTTTTCACCTAGTAGTAAATAGGTACCTGGGAATTAGACAGCTACTACGGGCTGCTTCCTGGGGGATGTCTTTGTGTGTGTGTGCGTGTGTTAGAGAAAAATATATGTAGTAGACAATATAGAAGAACAATCAATTGGTTAGAAAGGCGAGGTCCAAGAGTTAATAGCTCGATTCTGCAGATATAATTAATAAATTCATACTCATTCTCACTGTCTCTAATAAACTTGATTAACAAAACAACTATTGCTGCCTCAGAAAGTTTTTAAAAGATCATTTACGGGTGCAACATTTAAATGCTTGTGACTGAACTTAGCTGTTAAAAAATAGTTGATTTCATCATAGTTAAGAAATTCAATTTAATTGAAAATGCAGAATCAAAACGAATCCTAAACAATGAAGGAACACTGAAGTAAACATTACCTGCCTTGTATGGGCCAGTAGGCCTACTACAGTATTTCCGCCAGTAGGCCTACTACTGTATTTCCGCCAGTACGCCTACTACTGTATTTCCGCCAGTAGGCCTACTACTGTATTTCCGCCAGTAGGCTTACTACTGTATTTCCGCCAGTAGGCTTACTACTGTATTTCCGCCAGTAGGCCTACTACTGTATTTCCGCCAGTAGGCTTACTACTGTATTTCCGCCAGTAGGCCTACTACTGTATTTCTGCCTGTAGGCCTAGATGATTGTGGAGTAGAGGAGGTAAACAGAGAGCGTATGGCGTTTTTGTTTTGTGTTTTGCCTTAGGTCTATCAACCAGCGGGAGGGTCAATTAAGGCCACCACAATAGCTTGCTCTCCCTCCAGCATGATATCCTCATGAACATAGATCAGGACTTAAATAAGCTCAGTATATATTCACCGAGAAGTTAGGTAAGTCACACAGTGCATAGATCTCTGTTGATAAAGATGGTCTGATTATTTTTCCTCAAGGCTATGCAATTTGGAGGAAAATAATATTGCCTTTGCACTAGCGTTAAAAAAGGGAGTTATGAAGAGAGGGGAAACTAAAAGATCGAAAAAAAGCTTATTTAAATGTTTCTCGTGTAAAGCATATATTACCTTCACTCTGAGGAACCGTTGTCGTGTACAAAATCATCTCTGTAAAGTTGTTAAGACATTCTGTACAAGCGAAGCAATTTAGTTAAATGAAATTATAAGTCCACAATAGCTTACTGAAGTTGAGTGATTACAGTTTTTACCCCTTCAACTGATCAGGAGGAACTGTGAGGCTGGCCAATACTTTCACCTTATCTTCCTGCTGTCAGCACCAACTATTCCCCCTCAGCATCGGCCGGCAGCACTTCCACATAATTCCTCTGACTTCAGCACGAACTCTAGTCATGACAATCGCCGACTTCGACGCGATCTTCGACCACATCGGAGGATTCGGTCGCTACCAGATGGTGAGTGTTTATTTCGGCTCAATATGGGCAGCTCTTCATTTAGCTAGTGCTCAATGAAGAGTACTGAGTACTAGCTCAATATTGTGCTAGTACTCATGAAGCCTCTAGGTGGCCTGGCCCTCCAGTTGTGCTCCAATGCTGCTCTGGAGGTCTTAAGGTGCACTGGTGCTCTATTAGTACTTATAGTGTAGTTTGTCATTTTTTTATTTTAATTGTTTAAAGCCTATCCTTCAGATAACCACCTTGCTGCTATTTAAATATAATCTGGATTATAGCTTTCACACCATCCTAATACAAAGACACACAAAGATATTCAAGGTCACCCACTAGCTCTTATCTTAAGGCACTTTAACGTCAGATTCCCATCTACCACTGGTCTAATAACCCCCCTTTCCATCTTCAGCATACAAAATAGCGCTTGTCTAATGACATTCCATTATCTATTTAACAAGACCTCTTTTATATTTTGATAATTATTGCTATCTGCTTTCTACAAATAATTGTGTATGGTTGCCAAGGTACTGTTCACGGTCAACTGCATGATGAACTCCTTCCTGGCCTTCGTCTACTTCGGCCAGATATTTATGACCCTGACGCCCCCCCACTGGTGTCGGGCTCCGCCTGACCTTCAGGGCCTCAACCTGACGGAGGAGCAGCTCAAGGACCTCACCATCCCTAGGGACGCCTCTAGCGGCAAGTTCCTGCAGTGTAGGATCTATGACGTTGACTTCGTTAAGGTACGTATTTGTTTTTTAAATTTTGTACTTTTTTGGAAATTGCTTTTAAGTATTTCATCTTCAGGGGCTCTGTCATATGAGTTTCAATCTCATTTCTTTTAGTCTCATGAAGGGCCAAATGAATATACGAAAGGTATTACGCATTGCTAATGAAGCTGTTTATATATGAGCGGGTAACAAAAATAGTTGTTTTCATGCATATAACCTTATTTTCTTTGCCACAGGTGGTGTCGAGCCCCATCATCTGGCCTAACGTCTCCTTTCAAAACACCAGCTGGGCCAACGCCTCCTGGCCCACTACCAGCTGGGCCAACGCCTCCTGGCCCACTACCAGCTGGGCCAACGCCTCCTGGCCCACTACCAGCTGGGCCAACGCCTCCTGGCCCACCACCAGCTGTACACATGGCTGGACCTACGACTACTCCCTCTACTACCCCACCATCACCTCCCAGGTAAACTACCCTCCACGGAGCATTGGATTGAACCAAACGTCCCTTTGTCCTTGTATGTTTGAAACTCTATCTCATTTACATCATGCATTTGTGATTCAAGTTATCCCCATTCCTCTCCCATGCAAATCTGTTCCTCTCCCATCATATCTCTATACCTCTTTCATGTAACTCTGTAAACCTCCATCTCTCTCTCTTTCGCTTTCTGTCCCTTATATTTGTTTAGAGCTTATCCTTATACAGCGTGCATTTCTTCATACTAGTGCCCCATCCCATTCAAGTATCTCTCCCCTACAATTCTCACTGGGATATCTACTTTAATATTCATGCTAGCATATCTCATCTCCTATTCACAATAGTTATTATCTTGCTATACTTACATGTCTCCCTATTATTAAACGAGATTGAAGGATTCGAATCCCCATTGTTGACCAAACTACACACTAGAAAGTGAAGGGACGACGACGTTTCGGCCCGTTCTGAACCCTTCTCCCATTCTCAATACCCATTTATCTCACTCCGGCATAGATCTTCAGCAAAGCAGGGTACGTCAACACAATTCTAGTACATCTAGTAAGAGTCACATAAATGCCTGACTGAGTCAACATTTCTCTTGTTCTCCTCGTACTTCTCTTGCACCATAATGCCTGCAACCATGTCCTCGCTCTTCTTGTACACTTGGTGTCGGGGTCACGTGAAGCACACCACCATACCTACACTTGGCTTTGTAAATACACCTGGTCACAAGATAGTGAAATACTCGTTCTATGCCTTATAGGTCTCACCGAATCTCTCAGCTTGTATTCCAGTTTTGTTATAGGCTGATCTTCACTATCTCTCTCTCTCTCTCTCTCTCTCTCTCTCTCTCTCTCTCTCTCTCTCTCTCTCTCTCTCTCTCTCTCTCTCTCTCTCTCTCTCTCTCTCTCTCTCTCTGTGGAACCTGGGAATAACGGAACTCTTGTCAGCTTACATGACAACAAATGTAAATGTAACATCACAACACATGCTTCTTACAATGTACATTTCTGCACATCTAGTTCATGATTTTTTACGTTCATGTCACACCATAGTTCTTCAACTATACATTAGATGTGCTAAACCATCTTATCCTTATTACTGTGATTTCTTGGATTGCACTCAGTCCCTCTGAGGGCCCTTGTAACCTAACCTTATCTTTGTGTCGCTCGGTCAGGTCGTCACTCGCACCTTCCCCTTACTTTACACTCACTTTCTGAGTCACTCTAACATCACCAATCCAATAACTGTCAGTCATCCTTCCTTGGCGTCTTGGACTCACAGCTGGACTGGGTGTGCGACGAGGACTGGCGGAAGACATTTTCCCAGTCGCTGTTCTTCGTGGGGTCGCTGGTGGCCTCGCCGGTGCTCGGGTGGGCGGCAGACAAGTTTGGTCGACTGCCGGTCATCGTCATCACCAACATGGTTGGGGGCGTGTTCGGGGTGGCCTCAGCTTTCTGCACCTCCTTCGCCACCTTCACCGCCTTCAGGTTCATCGTTGGCATGACTTACGATACCCACTTTTTGTTCACATACATCCTTTGTGAGTTAGATGAAAGATTATATTTTTGTACCTTGTGTTTCGGTTAATTAATGTAGAGTCTTCCTGCTAAGGGAGACAATCCGCTTTTCCTTTCAGGACTGCAGAAGATTGTGCAATTAAACTGGGGTTAATTGTTAGTGCTGTTAATAAGGTCAAGGAAAAATCGCTTATGAGCTGTTGGAAACAAAAATTGTCAATATGAAAAGATTAGTTATTCAGAAAAAAACGAAGAGTTAATGGGGAAATTAGATGATAATGTGACGGAAATAATTTACGAAACAGGAATCTATTTTGGAAAGAAGCAAGAGAGTGTAGCCGTGAGAATTGTGAACGAATGAGTGAGACGTGAACGAATGAGTGAGACGTGAACGAATGTGTGAGAATTGTGAACGAATGAGTTAGACTTGTGAACGAATGAGTGAGACTTGTGAACGAATGAGTGAGACTTGTGAACGAATGTGTGAGAATTGTGAACGAATGAGTGAGACTTGTGAACGAATGCGTGAGACTTGTGAACGAATGAGTGAGAATTGTGAACGAATGAGTGAGAATTGTGAACGAATAAGTGAGACTTGTGAACGAATGAGTGAGAATTGTGAACGAATGAGTGAGACTTGTGAACAAATAAGTGAGACTTTTGAACGAATAAGTGAGACTTGTGAACGAATAAGTGAGACTTTTGAACGAACCAGTGGGACGTGAACAAATGATTGAGACGCGAACGAAGGGTAAATGAAAACTATGGAGAATGCTAAACGGTGAAGATAAGATTTGAAGTAGGATAGAGAATACACTGAAAGTTTAATGATGATAAAAGAGATGCTAACAAGAACATGACTGGTTTCATGTTTGTAAGAAACGATCATATTCAGATATATATTCCAGAATCAGGTGAGTACATCAGTAAGGTTAAATGTGATCGAGCTACAGGTGTTGCTATGGCACAGATATAAATTATCAAATATTGTGGGACTAATAAATGGATAACTGGCTCCTTCCTCTTAAGTAGTTCCTTACCCATGCTAGGGCCTTTCCGCATACTCCTGCCTGCCTCTCAAGTCTGAATAGCAGTCTCATGAGCGATACTGTATCAAAGGCCATTTGGTAGTCTAGAAATATGCAGTTTGCCCAACCTTCTCTGTCCCTTCTCTGTGTGAAGAATCTGCCAGAGGGCCTGGAACAGTGGTTAGTAATGTACCAGAGAATTGGGAAGAAGTGTAAGGAATATAGAAGAGTTAGTAAACTAAATGTAGTTGATAGTGTGAATGGCAGGAGAGCGTTCTGAAGAGCACGGGAAACTACTAAGAAAATATATAGTGATGAACAAGGTGAGTTTCGTGGGGAAAAATGGTGAGTAGACAACATATTTACATTGGGACAGCTTACCAAGACAAGCAAGACTTAGCCTTACCTGGCTGAGTAACAATGCTTTCATAGTATTTATGAATTTCGAAAAAACACATGACAAAGGTAATTGAGGACTTCGGAATATGTATGGAATTGGTCAAGTTCTGTTAGATATTGTAAACAAAAATGTTGTAGATGGCAGTGCAGGTGTGTGAGTTGATGGTGTAATGAATAACTATTGTAATATTACTCTGGTTATTCATTACACATATGTATGTTGCCCCTGCATTTACTATTTGTATTTACTATTTGCATCTGCAGGCTCGAGCTATATTTGCTCTTGTGTCCCGCCTTTCTAACCAATATTTTTCCTCTATTATGTCTATATATTTCTCCTAAACATTTCACTTATGTTATACATTTTGTTTATTCTCGTGTTAATTTCTTGTTAGTTAACTCTTTCTTGTGCCCATTATGTACCCATTTTGCCCCCCTATTTGATTCCTTTTAAACTCCTTGTTCTACGTCTCGTTGATCTCTTGTTAAGCTCGTTGCTTGTGAATTCGGATTTAATGTTATTCCTTGATAGGGAAAGTTGCAATAATTAATTTACGAAAGACTTCGGATGAGGGGATGCTAAGAACCCAGAGACTTCTGTTCCTGTTTAGCTTGCATAATATAAAATAAAAACAGGAATAATTTGAACAAAATTAGAATGTTATTCATTATATATATATATACTAATAATACCTATTTGCAAGTTTTGCAACGCCTGCTTGCAATAACTAACATGCATTTGTTGCAGTGTTGGAGTATGTGTCGAGTGAGTACCGCACCATCATGGCCAACGTTCCCATCATGTTCTTCCTGACGCTGGCCATGTGTGCCATGCCCTGGATCGCTGTGGGGGTCGCAGACTGGTCCATCTTCACCATCATCATGCACGCCCCTCAACTCATCTGCTTCTTCTTCATCTGGTGAGCCAAGACCCTCCAACGTCAACAGTTTAAAACGAGTTCCTAGTGCGGAAAATTATTGACGCGGCTATCTTCATTCGTCATGATTTTTTTCCTGCTGTAGTTCAGTTGTTGTGTTTTCGAAACCTTGTAGACGATAATCCGAAATACCCCAGATAGGAATTTTGTGACATTGAAATGTAACATCACCTTAAATATTAAAAAATGCGTTGTGATGACACCGATTAAGTTTGTTGCTGACCAGACCACACACTAGAAAGTGAAGGGACGACGAAGACGTTTCGGTCCGTCCTGGACCATTCTCAAGTCAATCAATCGACTTGAGAATGGTCCAGGACGGACCGAAACGTCGTCGTCGTCCCATCACTTTCTAGTGTGTGGTCTGGCCAACACATTTCAGCCACGTTATTGCGACTAAGTACCACTTAAGAAAGTGTTGTACATTCTGTTTTCTGGTGAGTTATCTTGCACGTGTTGCTTGTGGCCAGGTTGATCCCTGAGTCTGCCCGCTGGCTGCTGGCTCAGGGCAGGGTGGAGGACACGGTCAAGATCCTGACCCGGGTGGCTAAGATCAATCGGAAGACCCTCACCCCGGAGGTCATCAAGGAGTTCGAGGTCAGTGCCTCGTTGAAGATAATATATTGTTCCTGTAGTAGATAAACTTTTGTTCAATTTATGGATTGTGTCGAAGGTTATTTTTTGTTATTTCTGTATGTTCGTGGAGCTGTGACACCTCGTGTTTACAGGAATATGGGATGGAACAGGCCAAGCAAGGCCAGGCGACAGCGTCGGTGTTCGAACTCCTCAAGAGATCGAAACTGAGGCTGCACTTCCTCGTTCTCAGCGTTATGTGGTGAGTTATGCTTCGCGAGACGCTACCATTGTTTATGCATCAGTTTTTTGGCCTTAGTTAATGTACACGTCTACAAATTCTATGAACTATTAGGATAACGGGTTGACGATCCTGAGTCAGTGCACGCTATGGCCTCGCCCTCATTAATTTTTTGTTTATAACACCATCAAATTCCACTACTGCTACTGCAGCCAAAACCTCCATCATCAACTCTCTCATCATCATCCTCACCACTTGCGTCACTATCAATACATACCACTTCTATCAATCTCCATCTGGACCCTCTACCAACACCCTCACTTTAGGACTGGACTTACTGGGCCTTACTGGACTTTCTGGACTTACGGGCCTTTTGATGCCTGTATAAGTATTAAGGACATTATTATCTGAACACCTACAGGAGGCGTGGCGTTTATTTAAAGGTGTATATGATTGGCACAACGCATGAGTAACCTCCATCACCACCAGCTTTACTCTACTCACCATTTCCTCACCAATATCATCCTCCATCTTCTCCGCGCGTCCCCCCAGGATGGTGATCATCGTGGCCTACGACGGCCACATGAGGAACACGGAACACATCGGTAACAACGTCTTCGTGACCTTCACTATCGCCGGCTTCGTCGAGTTACCAGCGGACTTCATCGCCATGCTGGCCATGGAGAAGCTCGGCCGTCGCCACACTGTCGTCTTCACTCTTGTCTTCAGCGGCCTCGCCTGCTTTGCCGCAGCTGCCCTCCCAGAAGGTGAGAGAGAGGGAGGGAGGGGGGGAGAGAGAGAGAGAGAGAGGGGGGGAGAGAGAGAGAGAGAGAGAGAGAGAGAGAGAGAGAGAGAGAGAGAGAGAGAGAGAGAGAGAGAGAGAGAGAGAGAGAGAGAGAGAGAGAGAGAGAGAGAGAGAGAGAGAGAGAGAGAGAGAGAGAGAGAGAGAGAGAGAGAGAGAGAGAGAGAGAGAGAGAGAGAGAGAGAGAGAGAGAGAGAGAGAGAGAGAGAGAGAGAGAGAGAGAGAGAGAGAGAGAGAGAGAGAGAGAGAGAGAGAGAGAGGAGAGAGAGAGAGAGAGAGAGAGAGAGAGAGAGAGAGAGAGAGAGAGAGAGAGAGAGAGAGAGAGAGAGAGAGAGAGAGAGAGAGAGAGAGAGAGAGAGAGAGAGAGAGAGAGAGAGAGAGATAGAGAGAGAGAGAGAGAGAGAGAGAGAGAGAGAGAGAGAGAGAGAGAGAGAGAGAGAGAGAGAGAGAGAGAGAGAGAGAGAGAGAGAGAGAGAGAGAAGAGAGAGAGAGAGAGAGAGAGAGAGAGAGAGAGAGAGAGAGAAGAGAGAGAGAGAGAGAGAGAGAGAGAGAGAGAGAGAGAGAGAGAGAGAGAGAGAGAGAGAGAGCCTTCCTCATCACTATTCAAATACATTATATGCTTCTCATTTGACTACACACTAAGCCCCCATCATAACTAGGAAAAGAAACGCAGCAAAACAGACGAAAAAAGTAATTTTTAAAGAGCCCAAGGAACGTGAATAAACAGAAAACATAGAGGTCAAACACGATGAAGTGGTGTTGGAAGATGATGAAAAACAAAATGAAAAACTGTCCTTGTATGCAGCACACAGGTGAACTAACTCCTGCTCCTCCTCCTACAGAAGACACCATGGGCATCATGTGGCTGGCCATCGCTGGCAGGTTCCTCATCACTATGGCCATGAACGTTGGTATGCAATCCCCCGTGGAAGTCCTGCCCACAGTGGCCAGGGGCTCAGGGATTGCCGCCATACACACCCTGGGACACATTGCAGCCTTCACCTCACCCTATGTCATCTACTTGGTAAGCCATATATATATACCTTCAGTGTTTACGGGCTCACCATAGCCCGTGCTACATGGACATCTTGTTCTGAGTAGCCAAATCTAAAGCAAGAACGTTCAGTGTTATATAGCCCCGCTCCTGTGCCAGGTTTGATGTCTTTAGTCATTGCTCCACGATACCTGCTCATTCTACCCATTACATTTCAACTCTGTCGAAGTTTATATTTAAACCTCGATTCCTCGAGAGGATATATATGATCTTACGAGGAATCGCAGAGCCATCCTCTCAATCCTGTCTCAACCTCAAGACCATCATTAATCCTAAGACTGACGTTATCGTTGCCTGACCTCTTGCACCCTCCCCAGGGGAAACACGGCTACTACCTTCCTTACGTGATCCTGGGGGCGCTGACGGTGGTGGGTGGGGCGGTGTGCACGGTGCTGCCCGAGACACTGAACCAGAGCCTGCCGGACACCTTGGAAGACGGGGAGACCTTCTTCTCTGACCAGACCTTCTGCTACAACCCTTGCTCCAGGTGAGCTTTTCGGGGCGGGCGGGTTGGTGTGTACCTGCAAGAAGAGATGTTTGGTGAAGGTAGTTCCCTTATTTGAGCTTATTTGGTGAATCTTATTTGAATATGGTGAATCTTATTTGAATATGGTGAATCTTATTTGAATATGGTGAATCTTATTTGAATATGGTGAATCTTATTTGAATATGGTGAATCTTATTTGAATATGGTGAATCTTATTTGAATATGGTGAATCTTATTTGAATATGGTGAATCTTATTTGAATATGGTGAATCTTATTTGAATATGATGAGTCTTATTTGAATCATATGACGAATCTACTTGAATCATTTGAATCATATGGTGAACTTACTAGAATCATTTGAAACAAATGGTAAACTTATTTGAATCATATTGCAATGATTCACGATGAGTGACATCATATAATATGGAAATGGCTCTATGGACCAGGTACGGCAAAACATACAAAAAACAAATTATCGGTTTAATGGGTTTGGTATCTAGGTAGAGAAAAATTTGGACAGTGTTAGCAGTATGGGGGAATATTTTGGCTGAAAATGAGAGCAAATCTGATATTTGGCTTGGTGTCTATGCCTTTTAGTGCCTGTATAAACGACTCAGGCAAAATTAGGAGTTAGACACTGATACATAATAGTAATTCAGGCAGTGAGTTAGTCAGTAATATGGGCGAGAGATCTCAATTTTATGTGGCATTTTTCCCAAGAAAGGAAATTTGCTTTGAATGGACGCCCAAGACTACTGCTTTTAATCGTCAACTAGACCAACAATACCATAGTAATGCAATCTAACTAATTAACAACTGGGTATATTGGTAGAAAGGGAATTAAATGTATGTTTGGGACGGGTGGTCTTAGGAAGTCTGGGTTTTGCTGCTTTGTCCTCTTCATTGTAATCTGTTTTCAAGTGTTTGAAACTTCTATATGATATTGATGTGAACATGTACTCGTGAGATTTTAGAATGGGCAAGTGGTTTACCCTTAGAGTGCCACAGATGATTTAGAGTTTTTCATTTTTGTTGTTGACTTCTGCGAGGTAAATGCGATTTACATGATATGATGTTTTTCATTATTGCAGAAAATGAAAATTGAAATTTGCTTATAAATCTCTATAATTAATATTTTTTTACATCTCTCTGTCTATTATTATATAATGCAATGATAAGGCTTGTCATTACATATAAAAATAATTAATTCGGCACCATTGTACCCAGTAATAATGATTACAAATATTTAGTTTGGGACCATTTCTGAGAATTTTTTCAACCATATTTATTTTATGTTTACAGTAAATCTTAAAATAAAAAAAAATCTATTAAAATTAATCGTAATTGTTTATCGAAATATAAGGAAATGTTGTCAGTATAGACATTTAATTATTATGAAATTATATATATTCAAAGAAGTACACGAATATTTTTTTTGTCTTCAAATTGGTAACTTTCATATGGCAAGAAGGGTACTATCAGGAGAAAGCGCCAAGCCATTACGACAATATAGCACTGGGAAAAGGTCAGGATAAGGATTAGGGATGGGAGCAGGAGGGAAGGAATGGTGCCCAAATACTTGGACGGTCGGGGATTGAACGCCGACCTGCGTGAAGCGAGACCGTCGCTCTACCATCCAGCCCCAAGTGGTTGGGTCACATGGCAAGAAGAAATGTCTTGAATCACATGTTTTCGAAAATCTTGAGAATTAAGAATAGTGATGACGCAGGGACCAAACAAATAGAAACTCCACCGCTGACCGCGTCTGTGGGCCTCATAGACTTAAGAACAACTATTGGTAAAACTCCAGAAGCGTTCGGTTGAGATTTGGACCGTCAGAGATCTCCAGGTGGACAGTGTTCCCAAGTTTTGATGAACTTCCTTTGATGAACTCCGTAAAGATTACATGTCACGCCAACATTCCAACTTTTAGCTATCCAATGGTTAGTTAAAGTCATGGCTTAATGGTATTTATCAGTAATTTAGTTATTTGTGTACTTATAGAAACGGTGAGAGATTAACGTAGTGGAACTGTGCTTATTGTAGAGTTTCCTCCGTAGGGAGCGGGCCAACACGCGTTTATTATTCAACATCAAAAACAGTAGCTAGATTTTTTCTTGATAATCCTGTAAACTTGATTTTTTTTAATATACCTTAATGAGATTATTTATTTTGTTTTTATTTTCTAAATACTTATTTTATTCTTTTGGAAATCACCAACAGGGACTCCAAAAGTATAGAAAGTGGAAATTGAAAATTTTGCCGAGGCAATTTTCACATATATTCCGAAATTTTAATGTATTTCCTATTTTTTAATCCATAGGAATGTTTAATTTTTGGTCATGCATATTTAACAAAACACAAAATAAGAACTTAAACACGATACCCAGACAAAAACATTAACATATCAGTACACAAGAGCGTTATGACCCCACTCACTGAACAACTACATTATTATGAGATTGTTTTTTGTTGCTCCAGGATAACTTGGAAGGAGGAGGAGGCAGAGGCCCCAAGCAGACCTCAAGAAATGGAGATGTCAGTGTGTTGGGAAAACGCAGCTTATTCAAGAGATGATGAACAAATTTCGTCAACAAATTGAAACATTTAAATCATATAAAGGTTCTTTAAATAGGAATGTTGCTGATGCCATCTGTTGGGAGTCTTCAAGGAAGATAGACTTCAAGACTTCAAGGAAGTCTTCCAGGTGGTATTGGGTAAGGGTTGTCCATTACCCTGCCTAACAGTGAGAAAAGCTGTGTGAGTCTCCTCCCCTTAAATCTTGAGGATAAGGGTTAGTTAATGGCCCCATGATACTTCAGTGACTTTCACTGTAACGCTATTTTCCCCAGTATGTTAGTTTTTAGTGTACCTCATTTATTGTGCCCCATTATCCATCTTGAGGCGGTAGTGGAATGGGTTACAGAGGCACAAAATGGGCTAAGGGACTGAACCCCACAATTCATTTAGTTAAGCAAGTTACAATCTTGATGAGATAGTTACAAAATTCAGTGCACATTGTCACATCAACAATGGGCTGGAGACCGACCACAAGTACAGTTCCTAAATTAAGCAAACTGATATATGTGGAGAGCTAGTGTCACAATTGATATGTTTAGCCTGCACACCGCCCCCCATCCAGTGGGCAGCGGTGGATAGGTTACAATCACTTAGTTACTACCTACAGTTAGCAAACTGGGGATATTTGGCTAAGATTTCTGGTAGCAGATAATTTTGAATGAAATACTTAGGAATCTCTTGAGCATTAGTTATAGACTCTGGCTAACTCATCAGCTTTATCAAGCATTCGGAGCCCAACATGAGATGGAGTCCACATGAAATGGACTCTGTTACCATAACTGGCCGCACTATGCTAGAAAGAATAACATTAGTTTGGGGCCTTAACAGAGCGGTATTCGTTTTAAAACATTCGCCAGGACCTTTACCAGGTTCGAAGGACCTTTGCCAGTTTGAGAAGAGCCTTTGGCACGTCCAGAAGCGCTCTTTTCAGTCCCAGAAGAGCCACCATTGTTCAAAATTTCAATGGGGCAGTGGCCAGGTCTGCAGGTAGATTCCGCATTTCCTGGGCTGGTAACCCAGAAGCCATGACCTGCCTCGAGATTTCTTGTTGACATTGTTTGTGGCTGCCTGGGAAAGCTTAGAGTGCCCTGGACATCATGTAGTCGCTTCCCGAGACGATATTTCAGGGTTATCATAAGGGAGCATCAGTCAGGTATGGAGGTGGACCATCTGCCCTGAAACCAATAACTTCACGTCCCTCTCCCCCCATATATATATATATATATATATATATATATATATATATATATATATATATATATATATATATATATATATATATATATATATATGTCGTACCTAGTAGCCAGAACGCACTTCTCAGCCTACTATGCAAGACCCGATTTGCCTAATAAGCCAAGTTTTTCTGAATAAATATATTTTCTCTAATTTTTTTCTTATGAAATGATAAAGCTACCCATTTCATTATGTATGAAGTCAATTTTTTTTTATTGGAGTTAAAATTAACGTAGATATATGACGGAACCTAACCAACCCTACCTAACCTAACCTAACCTATCTTTATAGGTTAGGTTAGGTTAGGTAGCCGAAAAAGTTAGGTTAGGTTAGGTTAGGTAGGTTAGGTAGTCGAAAAACAATTAATTCATGAAAACTTGGCTTATTAGGCAAATCGGGCCTTGCATAGTAGGCTGAGAAGTGCGTTCTGGCTATTAGGTACGACATATATATATATATATATATATATATATATATATATATATATATATATATATATATATATATATATATATACGTTCTGGCTACCTAGTAGCCAGAACGTACTTCGCGGCCTACTATGCAAGAGCCGATTTGCCTAATAGACCGAGTGATTTTCTTTATTTTCAATAAATTGTTTCCAATTAGTTTATTTGAATTATTATTATTATTATATTATATTAAGAACATAAATTATTGACTTAGTTGTGTTAGTTTAGGTTAGGTTAGGATAGATTAGGTTAGGTTAGGTTAGGTTAGGTTAGGTAGGGTTGGTTAGATTCGATCAAATATCTACGTTAGTTTTAACTCAAATTTGAAAAAATTAACTCATACATAATGAAATGGGTAGCTTTATCATTTCATAAGAAAAAAATGAGAAAAAATATATAAATTCAGGAAAACTTTGCTTATTAGTCAAATCGGGCCTTGCAAAGTAGGCCGAGTACTGCGTTCTGGCTACTAGGTACAACATATATATATATATATATATATATATATATATATATATATATATATATATATATATATATATATATATATATATATACATATGTATATATATATATGAATGTTCACAATATTTTATTTACTGGTAACTCAAAGTACTTCCGTTTAGTAATGAAAGCTTACTCTTGAAGTTGGACATTGTAAGCCAACTGTTTGAAGAGTAAGCACTTGTTCTCGTTGCAGGAACAAAGTCCTTGCAAGTTTTTGATCTTCACCTTTGTTTGATCTTGAAAGAAAGTCTGAAGAAAACTTCAGTCTATGTTGTACACATTAACTACATCACAAAATGTGCCACATCATATCTCTTGAATATTGAAGAGCTGGAAATTTAATGCCATAAATATATATATATATATATATATATATATATATATATATATATATATATATATATATATATATATATATATATATATATTGTTATTTGGAACTTTTCTTAGTTTGGTTAACATTTTAGCATGTTTCCTACTATGTTGAATTAAATTCTGTTGGTATATTCAAGAGAGTTATATATTATGCCAATTTTATTATTACTATAATACTAATATTATTACTGTTTTGCTATTATTAACTTTAAAAGTTCATTGTGTGTTTTTATAAAGATCAGTTAACAATTAATACAAAAACAATGACACACTCACACACACACACAGGAAGCAGGAGACCAGATACAAGGTATCACTTGGGAGATGAAATACTTCAAGAGTCCGAGAGAGAGAAAGACCTGGGGGTTGATATCACGCCAGACCTGTCCCCTGATGCTCATATCAAGAGGATAACAGCAGCAGCATATGCCAGGTTGGCTAACATAAGAACGGGCTTTAGAAACTTGTGTAAGGAATCTTTCAGAACATTATATACCACATATGTCAGACCAATCCTGGAGTATGCGGCACCAGCATGGAGTCCATATCTAGTCAAGCATAAGACTAAAATGGAAAAGGTTCAAAGGTTTGCCACCAGGCTAGTACCCGAGCTGAGAGGTATGAGCTACGAGGAGAGACTACGGGAATTAAACCTCACTTCGTTGGAAGACAGAAGAGTTAGTGGGGACATGATCACCACATTCAAGAACCTCAAGGGAATTGACAGGGTTGATAAAGACAGGCTGTTTAACACAAGGGGCACACGCACTAGGGGTCACAGGTGGAAACTGATTGCCCAAATGAGCCACAGAGATATTAGAAAAAACTTTTTTAGTGTCAGAGTGGTTGACAAATGGAATGCATTAGGAAGTGATGTGGTGGAGGCTGACTCCATACACAGTTTCATGTGTAGATATGATAGAGCCCAATAGGCTCAGGAACCTGTACACCTGTTGATTGACAGTTGAGAGGCGGGACCAAAGAGCCAGAGCTCAACCCCCGCAAGCACAACTAGGTGAGTACAACTAGGTGAGTACACACACACACACACACACACACACACACACACACACACACACACACACACACACACACACACATATACACACAGAAACGCGCGCACGCACACGCACATATACATACACGGTCTCTGCAAAAATTCCCTCCTTCACGTTTTTCAATAATTAAATAATAATTTCATTCATGCAAATAAAATGTACAGAAGCAAGATCATGTATTTTGCATTATGCCTTTAGGAATATAACTTGTTCGGAATAGATGTAAGTGTTATAAATAATCCTTGATATGCAGCCACAGTCTCTGTTAAGATATACTGTTCATAGAAATCGCACAAAATCCTTCACTACACGGTGATGATTGTTCTGTTTAATGCAGATATAATCCCCCAGTACAATGCCACAGTCCCCCTGTGCATAGCCACAATCCCCCAGTATATTGTCACAATCCTTCGGTACAAAGCCACAATCCCTCGGTACAAAGCCACAATCCCTCGGTACAAAGCCACAATCCCTCGGTACAAAGCCACAATCCCTCGGTACAAAGCCACAATCCCTCGGTACAAAGCCACAATCCCTCGGTACAAAGCCACAATCCCTCGGTACAAAGCCACAATCCGTCGGTACAAAGCCACAATCCCTCGGTACAAAGCCACAATCCCTCGGTACAAAGCCACAGTCCTCCAGTACATATCCACAATCCCCCGGTTCATATCTACAATCCCCCGGTTCATATCTACAATCCCCCGGTTCATATCCACAATCCCCCGGTTCATATCTACAATCCCCCGGTTCATATCCACAATCCCCCGGTTCATATCTACAATCCCCCGGTTCATATCCACAATCCCCCGGTTCATATCTACAATCCCCCGGTTCATATCTACAATCCCCCGGTTCATATCTACAATCCCCCGGTTCATATCTACAATCCCCCGGTTCATATCTACAATCATCAGAGCTGGTGATCACGAGTATTGGAGCAGGGATGATGCAGAGTTCTCGGCAGTGATGACTGTGGAAGTGTTTGTGCCGTTTAGCAAAAGTGTAAAAATGCTTAACAGGCGGGTAGCTGTGAGGAGCCAAGTCGCTGGTTCGAATCCCCGCATTACTCCAATTGATTTTCTCATTGATTAATCACATTAATGCGATTTAATTGATCTCTGGATTTTACCATATACATTTCCTTCATCCCCTTTTTTTTTGGAGTTTTGACACTAAAAAAAATCATTTATTAGCGGAGTTTGTTTTATTTGGAGTTTATGTTAAAAATATGTAGAGTTTGGGTAAGTGTGAAGTTAAAGTGACGGGGAAATCATTATTTATTTTCTAAAAGGTGGGAATGACGTGGAAAAGGCTATTAACCCCTGACTAACCCGTTACGTCATATTCAATAAGCAACTTGTCATCCAAAATAT